ACTTAACTTAATATTTTATTTGAAGAATTTAATTTAATAGGTCTCATCCTAGCATGTATATTAGTCAATTATCATAATATTCTTATCATGTATACTAACATTCATTTGCATAATAAAGATATAAAATAGTTAGGAGTTAGCTTTTTTTCTCAACCCCACAAACGGTGCCACTAATGAGATTGTGATTCTTGATTATAATTATTAATGGGGTAGTTTTCAACTTAGGTTGATCGTGTTGTTGTTACAATGTAATTGATATGGATTCAATAGTAAGTACCTTGAGAACAAGTTCTTATTTGATAGGTAGAGAACTCTCGATGAATAAGTTATCATACAAAGATAAGTGTTTAACGCAAGTAGATGAAAAGTGATTAACTTTTATATGTAGGTGATGATGGATTATATCACTACTTTGAACTTGGAAGGTAAATATTATAATATTTGACTTGTTAGCCTTTATATAAAAAAAAGTGTGTGATCAACGTGCACGGGGTAGAGAGAGGACAATCTTTTCGTTTACGCTCTAGTCTCTAACATCCACTTGGAGAGATATCTAGCTTTAATATTGACCATTCATCACTAGACGATCGGAGTGCCTTCATGGTTGTAATTGATAGAACTAAGACTATTTAAAGGGCATGCCTTCATTTAATAAGTATACTTTCTATTTTTTTTATTGATGGTGATTGATAGAGTAAAACATTAAACCACCTATAAACGATGTACCTAGGTCTTCCTGGACAAATCGATGGAACTCCAAATACTATGTTGTATCATTATGAAAGCTGGATTTCCTTTTCCATATGTCATTTCAAAAGAGCCTTTTTTTTTTTTTGGGTATATCAATTTAGACACATATATAATCACATTTCATCATCCTTAGAGCCACCAAATAATGGATGTTTCATAAAAATTCCAACCAACCTCACTCTAAGGAACATAATTGACCTAACTCAAAATGCAAGAGCATGGCAAATGTTACCTCCAACATTATCTCCTCCAATGAAAACTTTAACTTTACTAAAATCAGCATATAATCATTCAGTCATAGCTTAGATCCACTCCCATTAACATGCGAAGCCACCCACTAGAGTGGTTTGCACAAGTCCTTATAGCATGCGGGTATGGGACAGATAAAGAAGAGACAATATTCTATGGAGACAACAATAACATTAACCTTATTAGCTATTTTGTTGCACAAAACATGGTAGGGAATATCGAATGGAGAAAACATCTCAAAACCACCTCATGACTATAGAGTGAGAGAGGGATTTTTGATGAGGAATTTTGAGTTTTGGCAAGAAAATATGTGAAGAGATTTCGAGTTTAACTGAGTTTTGGTAGGTATAAAAGAAGAAAGACTGTTAAAAGATAATGCATTATTTATTTATTTATTAAGGGGCCATAAAATTAAATTTGAGATAGCCTTAAGGATTGGAGAAATTTAGAGGATGATGGTGGTGAGTTCTAGCAAGGCTTCTACTTGCAACGAAAAGAGAAGTGATTCGAGGATGTTGCTCGAAATGAAGAAAGAGGAGATCAGGGATGGAGGCTAAAGCTGGATCTGCTACCGTTGCCTTCATGTTGTCACCATGATGTTGCTATCATGGTTTGCAATGGTGGAGGAAAGGAGGGAAATTGTCAATTTTGCCCTAGATTTTTTTTCCGATTCTTGAAAGCTATTTTCTTTTTATTTTATTCTGAAGCAATTCGAATGGGATATATTTTTGCTACATGTCACTGGTAATCATCTACGCAATATTTTATAGTTTCGTGTGATTGAGAGATAATTCAAATAGGAAAAAATAAATAAATAAATTTAGACGTTTTAATAAATTGAATAAAAAATTAGATTTTCAAACAAAATAAAAAATTAAATATCGAATCCTCAAATTGCAAATTTCTCTTTCGAATTCAATGAAAGAATAGGTGAGAGCAAAACTATTAAATAATTATATTTTTATCATTTAGTAGGTCTTAAAATCATATCTATTCATTTTAAATTTGATAAATATGATATTTAAGGAAAAGAGGATTCCAAATTAAAAATGAAGTGGAAAATCTTAAATTCAGTACTCGTCAAGAGTCTCAACTGATCACGTTGTCCTCAATGTCTGGAGTACGGAGGAAGGGAGATGTAATATGAATCGACACTTTGTCCTTATTCCTTATTGTTGGTTCTCTTATTTCTATAGTGTAACGTTTCAAGTGGATTAAAAAGTGACAAATAGTATCAAAAAGGGCAAAAATAGCACTGCTTCACGCTAGTGTCGGTGGCCCTAGCAAAGTACAAACTTCGTCATTCCACTCAAGCTTTTCTGTTGAAAACATGAAAAGCTTGATGATATAATCCCAAAATTATTATGATTACAAAAGACACATAATTAAAAGGTTTTTACGATACAACCTCGAAAACAGCATGATTATTGACTTGGGATTTAAGTTAAGTTGGTGTCTGGTGACTTGGATTAGTTAAACTAATTATTTCTGCTTAACCTTTAACAATGCCAGATTTTTGAAACTATTTTCGAGAGACGTCGGTGGGTTCTTTTGGCCTTTATGGGCAGGGATTTGGTACATCTCTAGCTACCACATTCACTTGCCTTCCTACCAACCACTTTTGTTTTACTATTTATTACTTTCTCTGTTTCAAAAAAAAATATATATATTTTTTTATTTAAATTGAAATAAGTTACTAATTAATATATCATATCAATATTTTTTAAAAATTATTAATCATAAAATTTAATATTCCATAACAAAGAATCAACATTAATTAAAAGTGTTTTAGAAAAATACATTTTGTTTAAAATATTCCTAATTAAAAATTATTTTGTGAAGAGATTGTTCAAATGCAATTATCAAAAAATTTTAAAAAGTATGAAAAAATAATATAAAAATTAATAATTTTTTTAATATTTGCAAAAAAATCAAAGAGTATAGTGGGAATAATATTTTTGGCTTTTGGTTTTGATAACTTGAGTGCTGCTTTTCTGCTTATCCTCGCTTCCGTTCTGTTAAAGCAAACTTGATCCTTCTGCATATTTTTGGTAGCACAAGGTAGATTTGCAAACATTTGGTAGCACAAGATAGGGATGAATATTTTATGCATAATGCTAGGATTATTGATTTTTGTACTAAGTTTTGCTTATTAAATAACGCATTATCTATTATAAGAAAAAAAAATCTCAGATTATAAATAATAGATCTTATATCATTTAATGGGATAATTATAATTATAAAATTAAGTCATTGATAAGATACACTTACTCAAGAATTTTATTAAATTTTTTTTGTATATCTAAAATTATCCATTATTAAAATTCCTTTATTTTGTGTATACATATCAGTCTTTTAATATGCTATTTGATTACTAAAAATAAAATGGTGAGAATTGAAATGTGAGTTTTATTCTCAAATTTATAGTTGTTTGATTGAAATGAATAAAATAAAAATGAGAATAAAAATTAAATTTGATTTTATTTTCATGTAAAAAAGCATGAATAAAAACAAGAAATGTAAACTATTTTTTTTTTCAAAATAATGATACATTATTTTTATCTATTGTATATTTGACTACAATAAATGTGAATAAAAAGGTTATTATTGCTCCGCTATTATCCATCATCTACCACCACTATCATTTTATTATATCACTATCCTCTTTCATGTATGGTGATGATATTAATTATTGTAAAATATATTATTGTTACTATTATATTATTATTATTATTACTAGCTCCTCATCATCATTTTCTATTATCATCATTTTCATTATTTTTACTGTTATCATAGTTAATAAAATTACTTTTTTAATTATTATTCTTATTTATATTAAATATTAAATATTAAAAAATTTAAATTTCATTCATATTTTTTATTATTATCCTAAATACATTATGAAAACATCAATGTAATTTCGATATCCTAATTTTCATTTTAATTCTTTTATTTTTATTTTAAAATTTTTATTTCTGTAGCAAACGGAACCTAAAGATTCTAGTTGTACTGCCCATGAACAACGAAGAAACCTTGTCTCTTTGAGAATGACTAAGAGCACGGGTTTATTATTATTATTATTATTATCTCTCTAAATCAGCATTTCAAGCACTGTGATTAAGTTTTTTATTTAAGGAAAAAGTGTTTTTTTTTTCGATCTACTTTTAATTTTGAATTCAACGTAATAGCAAGAAAAACGATTGTAATTACCATATAAATCAAGATCTTAGGAATCCGTCAAGATTACATTGCAATACTTATTATCTCTGTGGTGTCATGAACATGTTAAAAAACACCCACATCTATTAGATCAAGTAGCCCCCCAATTCATGTTTGATTACAAATTAAGGCAGCTTGACTTTTGAATATCATTAGAGGGAGATGGGTTAACTTAATTGTTTTTAAGACCACAAAATCATGGATTCCAACCGAAGATGGTTTTCTTACACCTATTTCCCTTGGAGATTAATGAAAAAGATTAGGTCAAAAAGGCTCTTTAGGGTTAGTGATTAGACATGGAAACAATACAAATCATTCAAAGTGAAACCAAGGCAGTCAAACTCAAAATGCAAAGAAAAGAACACCTTTGCTAACTAAACCACACCAATGCCATATAGGACCATCACCCACTGACCCAAAAATCACAAGACCCCACCTCCCATCACGTGTCAAGCACCATGCTTGTTAAGATGTCTCATTAATTAAGCTCACAAAATGGAAACTTATCTTCAAAGTGAGATAAAACTACAAGTAGTCTCTGCTCTCTGGTCAAGTCAGGAAGTAACAGAGAGAGAGAAAATATTACAGCCACCCCTCCTCATAAACAAAATCTTTGCTTTGCAAGATTCCATCTTTGGTCTGCAGTTAGCGTCCTTCGCGGTCTTGGTGCATTGTCCCTCTCTGCTCTTCCCTTTACATTCGCCCTCTCTTCACTCTCTTTTCACAATTGTCGCTCAAAAACACACAACTCTTACTTAGCCGAAAAAAGGGAAGGAAAAAAAATGTCAGACAAAGTCTTTCCTTCTTCAAAACCAGCAGCCAATGGCACCGCCACTACCACCGCCACAAACAACCCACCGACCGCCCCCACAAACAAATCCCACCTATACAACCCTACTTCCCGCCTCCCTTACCGCCCACAACCTCACACCCGCCGCCACCGTAGCCGTAGTGGCCGAAACATCTGCTGTTGCTTCTGTTTTTGGACAATCCTCACCATCCTCTTGCTCCTCCTCCTCGCTGTCATTGCTGGTGCTGCTCTTTACATCCTTTACCGCCCTCACCGTCCTACCTTCACCATCACCTCCCTACGTATCCACCGCCTTAACCTCACCACCACTGCTGACTCCTCCAGTTCCCATATTTCAACTCTTTTTAACCTCACTATCATTTCTAAGAACCCCAATTCACATATCTCTCTAGACTATGAACCCTTCACTGTTTCTGCACTCTCTGATGGTAATGATGTGTTCCTTGGGAATGGTACTTTGCCTGCTTTTAGTTTGAGGAAAAAGAATCAGACAAGTTTTAGAAACGTTGTGGTTTCTGGGTCGAATGATCTTGATGTGGATGCAGTAAATTCTTTGAGATCAGATCTGAAGAAAAAGAAAAGTGAAAATGGATCAGTAATGTTGAAGATTGAGATGGATACGAAGGTGAAAATGAAGATGGGTGGATTAAAGACAAAGAAAGTTGGGATTAGAGTTACTTGTGATGGGATTAAAGGGTCTATACCAAAAGGTAAGACACCAACTGTTGCTGTTACTACTAAGTCTAAGTGTAAGGTTGATCTAAGAATCAAGATCTGGAGGTGGACTTTTTGAAGCTTTTCATTTCTGTTTTGTTTGCTTTTCTTATTCTTTTTCTTTTTGGTTTTTTATATTTTTTTCTTTTTGTGATTTGTAAACTTTTGAGAAGCATGAAAGTGCAAATTATGGATTGAGAAACAAAAAAAAAAGATTGAAATTTGTGAGTAGGTTAATGAAAGGGGAAAAAAGGGTGTTGAAATTAAGAATTCTTTAAAATTTTGATTATATTTTGGTGATTCAAGTTAATCTTCTGTCCTGTTAAGTGATGTATGTTCAATGTTTTAGCGTCAATGTTTCTTCTGTCTTTTACAGTAATAATCTATGTTCATAATTAAGATTTACCAGTTTATAAACATTGTTAAGCAATAATCTTAGTGTATTAACTCCCCTGGAACTGCTCTGCTACCCATCTGGAGGTGTCAGATTCCAGAAGAGAGCAAAATGGGGTGGTGGGTTGTGTGTTTTTTTCAAGAAAGGGAAGGAAGGGTGGGTCAGTGATGTGGGCATTTTGGATCTTCTTAGTATGATAGTTGTTTGATCTGATGACTTTATTTTTAAGTAGTTGGATTATTTGGAATCATGCTTGAAGGTCACAACTAATGTAAGGGCACGGAAATTGTGGCAAAATCACTTTTCAACAATTTCTGCAAGCAATTGTGGAGATGTTAATGGGGGGTCTCCCGCAGTTTATTGAGGCTCGCATCTCACTTCTCAGTCAGTCGAAGTAGTTGGCAATGGATATTTTAGATCTTTATGAGAGGTAGCTTTTCTTTGATAGATCATAAATGTGATGTTGTGATCAATGTGACATACGAAGTAGAGTAGAAATTCACATTAAAGTTTGCAATAGCCGTAGTAGCGTAGACAATTGTCCTTGCATGGTGTAAGATCCAAGGCATGAAATAATGATTTGGAATTTGGCACTGCCACTTTGCAAGTTTGTGGCTACAGCAATTGATCGGTTGTATAGGACAATCCAATATGGGTGGTGAAATGGAGGAGGAGGTTTTAGCTATTTAAACAGAATGGGACAGAAACTTGTGAGCAAAATTCAGTGTCTTCTTCACGATTGGTGTGAAATCGTAGGTCCACATCTTTTAGAACAACTTATCGTCCTTTCGGTACTTGGTGCTTCACTCCCTCTATTTGATTGATGCGATATCTATCTTGAAAGCTTTGCAAGATTAATCCTTGGTGACCCGTTTCTGGCCCTTTGTTTTCACCAAGAGTTCGGTTTCCAATTTGCAGAGTAGTTCTCAAAAAAAAAAAAAAAAAAAAAAAAAACGTTACTTTCTGAAATTGAGGAAGAAAGTCTTCCTTCAGTTTAGTCTTTGCACTATTGTCAAAGCGCTCAAGGAACTACTATTTTCGTGTAACTACGTCTACGATAGTAATTTTACTTCTTTTTTTTTTTTTTTTTTTGGCCCTTTACAAATGTCAGGCATTCTTTAACAACCCACCTTCAGCAGACTGAAATTAAGTTTTTCTCGGTGCATATAGCATCTAAACTAGTGTATTTATGAAAATTATGCACCTAAACTAGTGTATTTGTGAAAAATTCGTTTCTTGAATTGAAACTGATAACGAATCCACTTGCACTTTTTAAGTCTAAGTCAAGCAGCATTGCAACGTTATTCCATAAACACAATTATCTCGGTATGACACAATCTATTAGAGATGAAAAATCTGACTCGCTCCAATGGATCCTCGCTTCGCCTTTTTGCCATTAGAAATGATAATTGGATGGAGCTTCGTCCCATATCGCTATATATGGGATCATGATGATACGTAAAATATCGTTCCCAACGAGACACACGGTGGAAATGAGGTGACATTTTTTTAAGACAGCGCTAGGATGGGGATGGCCATCCCCGCCTCCATCCCACCCCATTGCCATCCTTACAATCTAACCCATCTGGCACCGACATCAGGATCATCGACTTCAGGTACTAGATTATGCTAAATTATGCTTTGCCCTTGTAAGATCCAAAACACTACTACTGCAAGAAACATACTGTAGCTGGTTAATGAACAAGATTAAAAAAAAAAGCACTGGATAATTAGAAAAGTAAATGCTATCAAAGCACCTAGGGAACAACTCAATCTAATAAGAAATTCTGTCGTACTATTTTATATATTATCTTTTAGGAAATCAAGTTTTCATCGCGATCCCTTGATAAGACACGGTGTGTTAAATTCGGGTGCACGTGGCCTTTGTGTACTTGGAATTTGAGAGAAAGAAGGAGCATCATCAATCACATTGAGCTCAAATACGCTTGCATTGGACTATGATCCTTTGCTTGCTAGTGAAAAGTGGAAAATCAAAAGTTTTACGCGTCCCCAGATTTTTTTTAAATTAACTGAGATATATTTCCAAGAAAAAAGCAAAGGAAAAAGAAAGGCTCTTCTGATTCCTGGTTTCACTTTCATGTCTTGGTGGAAACACAAGATTCGTCTAATCTAGATCTGGTTTTATAAAGTTTATCAGACTTGGCTTAGAAGTGAAAAAAAATTCCTGCCCTAATGGTGGTGGGGCCTGTTAATAGGTCCATGGATGTGATATGCTTATCATTGACTTCATGGTTCAAGGTTACGAGTCCACTGATCACCGAAAGGAATTCATACAAAGGAAACATCTAGCCATTTGCTTCAGGGAGCTAGTACAGTAGTACTTACAGTAGACGAACAACCATAAAAAAACATGCCCACACCAAAAGTGGTCTCGTGTCTAAAATGGTAGTAATCAAAGTCACCCCAAAAAAGAAAAAAAAATGAGCGAGGAAGCTTCGTATCCCACTATGGAACAGTTTGCCAGGTGGTGAGCCAGTGAGAGAGAGTGGCAATGTTGTTGGTGATGTCGTCGATAGAATCACTCCTTAATGCCACCACAATGTCTTCTGGATAACTTTCTTTAGCCTCCTCCAACAGGACTTGGAAGATTTCACATTCCATGTTGTTGGATATCTTTGTCTCTGAGTAACCCCTTTTGTTTTGTTAAAAAAAAAAATCAAAAACCAAAAAACATCAATACTGATTACCCAAAAAAAAAAAACTATATTTCTAAGGACATTTAAGATGAGTTGGATAGGTTGAATTACCTCTTCCTCAAACGATCATACAAGACAGAATTGTCGGTTTGCAGAACCACCACTCGATCAAACCATCTCTCAGGAAAGAAATCACAACCATGATAATCCACTATGTTTCCACCTTCTTCCATTATATCTTCAAGTTCATCACACACCTACCCCCCAACCCCCAAAAAAGATAATATAAATTTAGAAAATGAACATCCAGAAAATTTGAGTAAAATCACAAACATCAATGCAACATAGGAAATGAAATTGAAGTTCGGTAATATAAGTGCGTGATGGCGAGGGTTTAAATGGGGCTTACCAGGTCTTCATTAATTACGTAGCAGTCAAACTGGTCATCCCATCCATCATGCAAGTTCTTCTCTTTGACCAAATCCCCAATATTAATTTGGCAGAGCTGGGTGGCCTCTGCCAGAGTCGATGCTGTAGTTGTTTTCCCAGTTCCTGGTGTACCCGTTATCAATATGTTTGGTGTCTTCCTCTTGTTGCTATCTCCTTGTGCCATGCTGACTGCTTCTTTTCTCACTAATAACACTATCAATTTGGTTAATTTCAAGAAACCAAAAAAAATTAATTGCATAGATCTGATATACTACTATTGATTGCATATTAAAAGAGCAGTTCAACTCCATATTTTTCAATAATCAAATTGAAAGCAACTAAAAACCTCAAATTCTCCAAATGAAGATTAAAGCTTTGTTTTTTAAAGATTTCAAGGTCAAGACACCATTTCTTTGTCAAGCATGCAAAATTCAATTTATTTGTGTCTATTTGATAGAATGGCTGAACAATTATTTGTCTTTCCACCTGATCTCCTGAACAGCCAATATAAATGAAACGGTCATCTATCCCCATTAAAAGAAAGGGATACTACAAGCCATCCAAACACCATCTCCATTGAAAGGAAGTCCTACTACAAGCCATCCAAAAATACACAAGTCGTTTGTTCACCTCAAACCAGCAAAAAGATTTAAAGAAAGCATATTATATATATCCATATAATTTACATTTAGAATAACTTAGAAACAACCAGCCTAACCAATATATACTGTTTATTTAAAGAAAAACAATTCAAAGGGGCAAACTTCATCCTTCCTAAAGGTTAGGAGTAGCAATAAAAAGAATTAGACAGGCGAAGATTGAAGAGTATACAGAAAAGACACAGAATTACTGAGAGTTTTGATATCCTTAAATGATCATAGAAAGAGAGAAAGAAACTTTAGTTACTCAATTTATATAGTGAAAATGAATGTCAAGCGAGCAAGAGAGAGTGTCAAAGCCACCGATGAGAAGCAGGACTATATTTGTCTGGTGACAGGAGAGTTCGTTTCAATGGAGCAGGGTTTTGTCTGCTGGGATGGGAGGGGTCATTTGGGCTTTACAGACAATAGAGAGGGATAATTTGGTGGTTTAGATGAAAGGAATAAGGAACAGAATGAAAGAAACTATTCACTCATATGGAACTTGAACCCGAATTTCCAATGGTTCAAGTTACTTGATGGAAGCCTCGTTCTTTCTTAAGTTTGTTTTCTCATTTATTTATTACAAGAGAAAGCTAGAACCCAAGGCTTCTTGGAAGGAGGGGATACCATAGTTACAATTATAATTATAACAAAAAACTATTTCTTGATTAACTGCTTAGAATAGTGTTTTCAGAATCTTCAAAACCACACTATTTGTCCGAGAGATAAAATTATAAACACAGTCCTCTACTTCTATTTCAATCTAATTACCATCGCTCATTTGCTTGCACCAGCATTTTCATGGTCTGTATTGAGTATAACCAATTATTCAATGTAATAACCACTTGTAAACACAATGCAGCAGCCTTCTACAAAAAATCACTTTTGAGGTTTTTTATTTTTTATTTTTTTAATCAAAGAAACTCAGTTAACAAAACGAGTTAATGAAGAAAGCATAAAAGACAATTGAACAAGAAGAAGCGACTGTAGAGAGCTAAACACAGTAAAGGCAATGAATGTCGAGGACCATAATTCATCATTTTGAACTGCAAACAGGCTAAAGTTAAACGATATGCCATTATTCTCAAACCAAACAACCTAGTAAAAGCAAGTTAAAAATTGAAACACAATTAAACTTCTACTTTTTTCCGAAAACTGCACCAAACCCAGGCACAAAATTCATTTTATTACCCAAGAAAGTCGAAAATAGGGGATATATGCTTAAGCTTCCAAACACACAGACACAACAATTTCATACATTTAAACACCAAGAATCATCTAGAGCGCCAACAGAATCTTAGCCCCAACAGACCATATAGACCACTGCCAAAGTCTTTCGTCAACAAAATCAGGAAAAATACAGCATATGTTTCAAGCTAGAAGGCCCTAAAAAACTGAGAACAAACATAAAAATTATACCTTAGAGTCGGTATTTGGAGATGTTAGACCCTAATCAGAAGCTTGAACTTTCCCCTTCTGTTTCCAAGCTTCAACGTCTCTGCTGTAGGATGCAGGAGGAGCAGCGGCCGTTGGTGGCTGAAAAGATTAAGGTTTCGCAAGCTTGGCTTGGAAAGATGAAAAAAAAAAAAAAAAAGTATAAATGCGGTGGGACTCCATGTTTTGAATATGGGCCTGGAATTTAAGCCTTTTATTCTTGGATTTTTTGCTTGCAACCCTAAAACTTGGTCGAATGGGCCACCAATTGATATGGCTTGAGAGGGTGGTTTTTTATATTCTTCAATGTCCAATATTAGATACAGACTAGACAAGAGTAGTCCATGGTGAGCCCAGAGAATAATCTAAAAATTTCTTAATTCGTGAATGTTTTGATGATGACCTAACCAATACCAAACAACTTTACAGCTATTCATTCATACATTGCCAGTATCTGATTTCATCACTTGCACAATTGTTGTTGTCTCCTTCAAGGTTGTCTACTTCAGCACTCCCTGGAAACACATTATCTTCTATTTTTATCACAAAATACAAACACAGTAACAAATACTCACACTATTCAGCCCATGTGATATCAACTACCATAACTTCCTCTTCATACTGACTCTGTAAAATACAATTTAATCCTTATAGTCTTTGCAATGTTACACTTTGATCTCTATGTTTTAAGTTTTCTATTATCGTTTTAGTATTTGAAAGAAAAAAAATAAAAGACCATATCACCGCCTTAAAATATAGGATCGTGAATATACCAAATCTTCCAAACGGAGATTCAAACTTAAGACTTCATGTAGCTAATCATTAGTCATTCTCGAAATGATCAGTAAAATTTTGGTTATAAGTCTTTCTTATTTAATTGTCAATGAAAAATAACCATGAAATGATTGAAAAAAAAAAAAAAACCTTAATGTCAATAGAAGAAAAATAAAAATAAAATGAAAGAAAAGGTTGGAAAAAGATTTCCATTCCTACTGTTAGTTATTTAATGGAAAAGATCACATTGAAATTCCTACTGTTAACGTATAAAGGCTAAAATGAATCGTTTCTGAAACTTTAGTGGCTAAATTATAGTTTATCCTCTGTTTGTCTATCCTCAAATTTCTTGTGTTTGGTTTTAAATCAACACTTACCCCACGCTCCCCTATCTAACACGCTAACGCGGATTTAAATATCCTCGTGGTCCAAACATTTTCTCTCTCTCCCAGACTTAAAACCCCAACGGCTACTTATCACTGATCCCATATTAGTACAACCTTATATTTTCCTGTTTGTTTTCTCGAGAAAACCAAATCAGAAAGAAAATGTTGTCAAGACAAAACTTTCTCGCTATCTTCCCCTTCTTCTTTTGCTTCTTCTCTAGCTCTTCATCCAACCCCGATTTTATTACATTACTCTCCTTCAAATCTTCCTTGTTAGAATCACCAAACGTGTTATCCACCTGGGAAAACTCAACTAACCCGTGTACTGATTCTTGGCTTGGTGTCACATGCAACCCCACAACTCAGCGAGTCACGAAACTGGTACTTGAGAACCTGAATCTTACTGGGTCGATCGATGAGTTGAGTCAACTCACTCAGCTCAGACTCTTAAGCTTAAAACAAAACCATCTTTCCTCTGCTTTCGATTTGAACTTCTCTTCCTTGAAAAACCTCAAGCTCCTTTACCTCTCTCACAACCGTATTTCCGGAAATTTCCCCACTGGAATCCACTTTCTTCGGCGTCTCCGGAGACTCGACCTTTCGTATAATTACTTTTATGGCGAGATTCCACTCAGCGAGTTGACTCAGTTGCCTCGGTTACTAACTCTTCGTCTAGAATTCAATTCATTCACTGGAAAGATCAAACCTTTCAGTTTTTTTCCATCTGGGTCAATCTTGGACTTCAATGTTTCGAATAATTATCTCTCCGGCGAGATTCCGTCGAGTTTTTCACGTTTCCCGGCGAGTTCTTTTTCCGGAAATAAGAATCTTTGTGGTAAACCGCTGGCGTTAGATTGTTTTCATCGGACGGTGGAGAGTGAGCCAGCAAAATCAGGTGATGTAGGGTTGAAGAATAAAAGGAAGGACGGAGTGAGTGATTGGGTTGTGTTACTGATTATTACTGTTGACGCGGTTGCAATTTTGGCGGCTCTCGTGACTATCGCTTGCTGTTGTTACTATAAAAAAAGACGAAGCAGTGGGGCCCATGAAGGAATCAAAAGGAAAGTTGGGTCAGCTGGGTCCTTCAATTCAATGGGTGGATTTTACGGTGGCGGTGGTGATGAGGTGATGGTGGTGTTTGATGGGTGCAAAGGTTTTGGTGATGTGGATGATTTGTTGAAGTCTTCGGCTGAGTTGTTAGGAAAAGGGTGTGTGGGGACCACTTATAAGGTGTTGATGGATGGTGGTGATGTGGTGGTTGTGAAGAGGGTGAAGGAGAGGAGAAAGAGGAAGGAGGTTGACGGGTGGTTGAGGATAATTGGTGGGATAAGGCATTCTAATATTGTGAGCTTAAGAGCTTATTGTAATTCTAATGAGGAGTTGCTTTTGGTCTATGATTTTCTACCAAATGGAAGTTTACACTCTCTCTTGCATGGTTTGTATTTCTTTCCTTGATCGATTAAGCTAATGATTAGTCAAAGTGATTGTCTTTTATGATATGTTCTGTACTAAAATTGCTTTGTATTAAATAATAGGGAACAGAGGACCAGGGAGGACTCCATTGGACTGGACGACAAGGTTAAAACTAGCTACAGGTTCTGCACTTGACCTTGCATTTCTACATGGCTACAACAAAGCCAAGCTTTTCCATGGGAACCTTACATCATCGAACATTATAGTTGATCGCTTGGGAAATGCTTGTATTTCTGAAATTGGTCTCCACCAACTCCTGCATCCCTCATCTATCTCAAACAGTGCTTATAAAGCTCCAGAGCTAATGTCCAACAACCAGAATACTGTCAACCAAAGAAGGTTTACACAAAAATGTGATGTTTATAGCTTCGGGGTGATTTTGCTTGAGATATTGACAGGGAAAATGCCGAATGGAGAAGGAGAAACAAGTTTAGTGAAGTGGGTTCAAAGAGTGGCAAGAGAAGAGTGGACTTGGGAGGTGTTTGATTTTGAGTTGTTAAGGTATAAGGAAATGGAGGAGGAGATGGTAGGTCTTATGCAAGTTGCTTTGCTTTGCTTGGCTCCATTGCCAAGAGACCGTCCAAGGATGAGCATGGTGCATATGATGATTGAAGATATTAGGAGCAAGGGAGGAAGACAATTAGGTGACCGGAATTCCATAATGAATGATCATTCTTCTGATTTATCTCCTTCTCTATCAGAAAGCACCATCAATTTCACCAGTGGGGGTTGATTAAGGGAAGTGGCAGCTGTTATGTTCGCATAATTAAGTTCATAATTAGCACAAAGGATGCAATTTAGCAGTTTAACATCATAAGGGGAGCCTGGGATTTGAGGATAGTAAACCATTGCCTGAGCTATTTGCGTATCGATAAATCTAGTTTTCTCGGTAGCCTGTTCTGATTGATGGAAAATGTAGTAGAAAATATGTACAATAATTTGCATGGTGGCATGTTCTGATAGATAGAGAAATTTTTGAATTCTGATTCTTTGAATGCGTGATTTCAAGCACTAACAAAATAGCAGTAGAATATTTCTTATTAGAAATTAGAATGCCAGCAGAAATTTAGGCAATTGGGGTCTTGTATTTCTAAGGGACTTTGAACACCAGTATTTTAAGACTGAGGATTGAAACTGTTGGCACAGTACTGGTTGTTGTTGGGGACACAGAATGGTCAGTTGTTCCTGGGGCAAGAAATGGGTGGTAGATCCTCCATTAGAAAAATCTAAAGACATGGCCATCCAAAGATGTTAGTGTTTGTTTGCTTGGTAGTCCTGGGACAGGATTTTGGTTAATGTTATCGTACTTAGACGATGTATTGAAATGAAGAACCAGTGATCAAAAGATTGGAACTTTTTTCCTAATCTGAAATTTAAAAAGTGGGGCTATTGATGCCCATTGACTACCAATTAATAAAGGGTTTGATATCGAATTTTGAGAAAAAAACAGGCTTGAATGAGCTGTTGTGGATGCCTGAGACGCTATTAACTTGTGACTATGGACGCAAAAGAAGAATACATACAAAAAGAACGGCCACGAAATCACATGATTTTGACCTACTTGCTTGAATGCTTATTCATGAGGAGCCAAGTTTTCCACTCATCAATCGGTTGGCATTGGGGGTCCAGACTTCAAGTGGAAATGAAAGGGGGAGATGACTTTATCCACAGAGTCGGTCCATCATGATCTTTTAAATGGCTGCCGTTTCATCCAGCTTTTAAGCGCTAGCTAAATCTGTCCTTACCTGACCTTTTTAGGACTCTGAAATTGATGCTAGCTAAATCTGTCCTTACCTGACCTTTTTAGGACTCTGAAATTGATGAATCCAACAGCCATTGAAAACAACCATGATGTTTTCCAACTGTACAAAGGAAAAATCATTAAATCATCGAATGCATCCTAAATAATGACAACCAGCTTAACCCTATGTTTGGATAGGAAGAAAAGTGAAGGAGAGGAAAAAAAAATTTCATTTGTTTTGGAGAGAAAAGCAGTGAAAAGAAAATAAAAAATATTAAACAAATCTATAAATGATGGGACCTATTTTCCTTTCAAAATTAGAAGGAAGCCGGAAGAAGAAACCTGAGAAATCATCAAAAATTTTCTTATTCTCATTTTTACCCTCCATTTGCCTCATCGTCCCTCTCCTTTTCTCACTCTCTGCAGTAACATCATGGCAAAACAGATCTGTCTCATCGTCCCTCTCCTTTTTTCTACACTCTCTACAAGTACAAAGACAAGGACCGAAGCTTACTCGCGTAAAAGGGCACACTAGTTCCGCACATCGACGGCAAGTAATGTGTTGTTTAATGTTTTTCTTTGTCTTCTATAATAAGAGTAATACAAGAACCTCGATAATCCTAAGCCGCCCCTTATAACCCTAAACACTATCACCCCCTCCTCCTATCCTCCATTTTCCCTTTCTTCCAAAGACTAGAATTCAATCCACGAAAACTATCGCCTCCTCCTCCATTAACCACCATCTCCTTTCTCCAGTCTTTCTCCATTGCATCTCCCTTTCGAAGGTGAGAATTGAAATCAAGATGGCCTCTATAAATACCGAATCCAAAATCAATTCTATAAAACATTTATTTATTGGAAATCCAATCATAAATTTGCCTCTTCCAACGAATACCATTCCTCCATTTCCTCAATTTCTTGACTTGATATGCGAGTGTCAAGTAAGTTTCTCCTTTTTCTTTATACTGATTTTCATTTGTGATGGATTTTTTCAAGTGGGTTTTTTTACGTTAAATCTTTTTTCCGGTAATATTGAAGTTAAATATTTTTTGTGTTTAGTTTTTGGATCGAGTTAGTTTCATTGTTATGCTTTGCTTTGAGTCCTAAAACTTCGCTAGTGGCAAGCTCTAAGTAAGACCCGGGTTGATCGTGCGCTTGATCATTTAGCCGATTGGGTTTGATGAGTCTTGTGGGTCTATGTCCTTTTCGAGTTTAAAGCATCCAAAGTTCGGAGATTTTCCGAATCAAGTTGGGTTGCTTGTGGTTTGAAGAATGGATTTTGTAGGTGGGAGATTGGATGTTAAGTACGAGGAAGCTAGTGGCTGAATTTGAGGCAAGGATTCGAGATGTTATGTCACATGTCTTGAGAATACAAGCATAAACAAATTTAAAACTGCATGCCGGGAAAGGTCTTGGGGCTTAACTATGGAAACTCATCAACCATAACTATACGATGAATGTTTTAGTAGGAAGTCCAGGAGGCACTCCATTTATTTCATAGTATGAAATATTAGACTCGGCATTATAATTTTTTTTCATTCTTGTCGAAGATGTTATTAAGTGTACAAAATCTTGTATTTTGAAGGCCGCCTTTGGATTCATGCTGCAAGTAAAGTTTCGAAGGAAGATACAATTAAAGTGATGGAAGACTTCTATAGAGAAATTTACGCAGATGAATGGCATTACCGACATAAAGTTTCCCGAGCATCATCCTGTTTCAAAACTTTTAGGTATATGGGCTTCGTGCTCTTAATATCATGTGTTTCTATTTACTCATCAAGTCTTAACATCTAATTCAACACTTTCTTTCCCTCTTAACGAGTTTTGTAGATTTATGAAATGATTTTTTTTCGAATTTACTGATTCCACTCGAGCCATTTTTTGTTTTCGTAATTTTGGTTTCTCTATACTTTTTACTAAGAAATGAAGTAGTAAGATAGTCAATTATGGCTTAAAATCATACAAGTAGGCAAACATTTCATACATCCCCATCTCATGATCGGAGTGAGGAATCTATGTGACCATTTCACCAACATAGGTATTGATTTCTAGCATAGGTGTTTGAACATGGCTAAAGATCCCGACCAGCCTTTGTGTTGGCAATGAATCACACCGAATCAAATTTCCACCTTAATTGCTTGGATGTGCGAGCCGAGTCGAACCGATGAATGATGTTTTTGTATGACACCATATGCGCCCATCACACTTGGAACTACTCTCGCACTCGCTTGTGAATGTTCAACACATGCGATCTACTATGTATAGGATAACTAATTGTCAAATCATATAAACAAAACATCTTTACAAGTTACCATCTAAGCCATATATTGTTAAAGTCTTTTTCCATCCTCTTTGCAAATGAATTATCCGTCTTTACTCAAGATTGAGATGCTATAGGTTGTGCTTAATTTCGTTTTCATTTTTTTATTCGCATTTTCACTTCATTCTAAAATCATTTCTATACAAAATATTAAAGAGAACGTGTTTACTAACTACTAATACTTTTCTAAAATAGAAAACAAGGGCTTCAATTGGGTTATCTTTAAAATAATGAATGACAAGGAAATAGAATAACAGGGGAACCAGGGGCCTAGTTATTTTGAATGGAAATTTTGGAAAACAACCTTTAGCAGTTTTCTAGATTATTATTATTTTATTTTTCCCGAAACTGTAAGCCCCAAAAATAGCCTCAAAACCAACCCCAAAACAAACCCAACACCTACCAAAAGCCCTCAAAATCATCCTTGAAACTGTTACCAATATCCTCCCAAAACCCTTACAGAGCAAACCCTTTGGACAGCCTAATTTAAACCACCAAAGCAATGACAAAAATACCCCCAAATCAGATTTAAAACCACCCAAAAAACCCACCAAAACAGACACAAAACATCTTGAAAAAAACCCTTTGAACACTTTTTAGAGTTACCGAAAAAGAAAAAATAAAAATTATTATATAAAAAAAAAGGCTAAAAATATTTTCATGTGTTAGATTGTTGGCGACCACAACATGATGTTGTAGGTTGCATTTGGTTGAATCTTTTGACGTGAAAAATAAGCAACAAAAGCTACCTTAGGCTTTCGGAAACTCTACAAATTTTGTAGTAACTTTGGAGTGTTCACCCGAGTAATGGAGGGGTTTTTGCTCACTTTAGCTATAGCGAGCACTCACATTTAACATTCTCAACCAGCAGCTTACCCTCCTTTTCCGACTAATCGAATATTTGATTATTATCGGGAACGAAGAGGGTAGGATCGACTTCGAATCTAACGTTGACACTTCGAACTTTTTGGATAAAAATCTTAAAACATGACATTTTTGAAAGCGTGATAAATGTTTAAAAATGACTCGTGTGCGTTTGTAATGTGGTTAAAATTATGATATTTGGCTTAACATTTGCAAATTAAAGGTAGTTAAAAATAAGACATTATTGCAATGACCAATAAAAGACAATGTGCCATGTTTTCCTGTTATTATACATGTCTATCCGAATATGAAATTTGTCTCATTTTTTGTGATTCAATTGACTTTCTATGATTGTTCATAATGCTACAATAAACTCTTTTTTGTGGATTGCTAAATAGTAATTTTTTAATCCAAAATAAAAAAGCTGAAAAAATGATGGGTAAAAGCAACTCGACTTATTATATGCGTAGATAATAATACATATTATACATATTTAAGTTAATTTTATGTTGACAATTAATCTAAATTGGCTATTGAATTAACTAATTAGTAAACGAGTTATCGATTATTCTATAGAGACGATTCATTATCCATCTTGTCATTTTAGATAGATGCTACATGCTAGATTTTTATTTTATTATCATCTCGTTCAATTTTAATGAAAAAAAATATTCATACAAATTTATTTATACAAATTTATTATAAGTATTTAAATATAGAAATGTAATCATATGGATATTATAGTAAATATATAATAATATATTTTCTTTCTTCTCTCTTTTTACAATTATCCAAATAAAGAAAATATACTTTTTTTTTCATTTCTACTTTTATCCAAATAACAAGTGAAAAATAGCTTTCTTTCCTCCCAAAAGGAAATATCTAAACACAGGGTAAGTATGTTGTCATATTTGCATATTATCTAAATTTACCTTATGAAACAAACTTCCAAATGAGACAAGAAACCTATATCATACTTGACTCCACACATTCATACATGGAAGAAAAAAAAATCCAATCTGAAGTGAACTTCCAGCAGGATGCAGAATTCTAAGGCAACAGAAATTTTAAATTGTGTAATGCAAATCTATTACTCCTATACACATGTAACAGTATTAATTTCCTGTTTGCACTTTTTTATACTTTTTTTCCTCTCGGTATTTAAGGAACAAAATTATAAAAAATTTGAGCAGTGCTGCGTCAGCAGTTTTCAGCCTCATCAGTTTCGGCCTCACCTGTGATTTACCAAGTTTTTCAATAGTTTTCGGCCTCATCTGTGTCATTTACAAGTTTTCATAGAAAATGCCCTGGTAGCAAGCATCCTTTAGATTGCTCACTCCTTGTGTTGTTTTAAAACTCAAAGTAGTGACAGCAAATTATAATAATAAAAAGAAACTATTATCCATTAGAGTAAAGCATCTATTTCCTACAATCCAAAATTTATTAACTTGTTATTTCTCAATCATATCAAACATAAATAAAATAATTGTTACCCTGAAATTGTCGTTCAAAGTTAGAACTTACAGTTAAAAAGTATAGCCCAAAAGTGTTAACATGTATTTCAGTCCATCTGGAATCTGGACCATCATGAACTATCCTGGTCCCTACCATGTTAGAGGTCACTCTACCTTACCTTAAGTCTCTCTCTGCTTTTCCTTTTATGGGACCTAAAGCCCAAACTACACAACAACAGGAGAGAGTAGGCCCATCTGTAGCAAGACAGTGCTCAAGCCAAGCCCATTGGGGCCTCAAAAAATAAAATAAGGTCCAAGACATTTTGCAATTCCTATGCTAAAAACATTAAGGAAATGATATTAATTGCCAAAGTAGTGAAGCCATTTGCAGAGGAATCAGCCTTGATCTTTAACAACTAGTGTAGCTCAGTAGCTGTGACTGAAACATTTGCCAATGTGTAAAAGATTATGAAAAATCGAAATGACCAAATATAATCTCATTTCAAGCCAAACCAAAGTGATTTTAACCCAAAATTTCATAATAGAAATTTCGATTGAAATCTTTAATATCATAACCGACCAATGACTCATGAAATAAATGAGTAATCTTAAACTTTACAACGCCATGGAGTTATCTGTTCTTTTATGCACAAAAAACAATTAATAGACCCTTCAAATTCCTTTTTTTGGCACAAATTTAATTACCATCTTCGATGTGACTGTTCTGTTTATATGTCACCTATTAACTATTGACACTGACTAACAAAAACAGCAAAAACCAACCTGAACTAATTCTATGTTCAAGCCCTAATCAAGATCGTCAAAATCGTCTCCGCTAACCCCGAACTGTTGTTGGTTCCAATATGCTTTTGAAGAGGATGGTGGTGATTTTCCCCATTGAGGGTTAACGACTAATTTTCCCCTGTTAGGCCTAACATCTGAACCACCAAACACATTCTTACTCGCTCCAATGGATAGATTATTCATGGAACCACCAACAGGCGGATAACTTCCTTGAAGAAACCCAGTTTCTTGATTCATTTGCAGTGGTCGTTGAACAGGCAGGCTACTAGTCAGAGAAGTCCCTTGACGATCACGGCCAAACAGTGTAGTTTCTTGAGCAAAACTGGATTCTTGAAGTTGTTGAGGGTTCTCAAGATTCTGAGGCAAGAAGTTAAATTCTTGATTCGGAGGTTGGAATAGCAGATTAGCATTATTGTTTGATTGGAAAAAGTCCACCAAACCTGCATTGTCAACCATATTTTGCTGTCTAAGTTGCTGTTCTTCTAGGGCACGATGGCAAGCGAGTTCATTTCTGGCAGCGAGAACTTGCGCATAGACAGTGCCAAGCCTCTGCTGCAACATTGAAACGATGCCAGCACAGCCAGTAACAGGATATATAACTCGGGCATTGGCTTCATAAACCATAGAAGTAATGGCGTCAGGTCTTTGTGCAGGGGTTAGTTTCTGGAGGTGGCTGACAATATTACGTACCCCAAAAAGTTTATGGACAGCGTCAAAATCGTTTGCTTTCTCGGGAGGAAAGAACGGAGCAAGAAAACAATCTTCTGTGCATTTCCTACGTTGGTGCTTACAAGCAGCACAAGCAGGCGCTTTCATCGTTGTTATTTTTGGTACTTGTAATATAGCTAGTATCTCGGTGGCTTGAATCTCGAGAGAGAAGTTATCGGGTGTGAAGGAGAAAAGGAAGAGAATGTGGTGCGTGGGAGAGAGAGAGAAAGAAGGTAGGGCTTAACTGATGTATGTACAGAACGATGACGCTTATAAAGACTGAGGGACGTGGTGTAGGTGTGGTTAAATACTGTTTTTGTATTTTGAAAAAAGAGAACGAAATTGGTATTTTGGGTTATCTTGATTTTGTTTGTTTGTTCGTTCTATAAGTTTGGCAGTTTTCAAAATAGCAGTAGTACTCTATTTCTGTTCAAAATACTTCTTTGGAGGTTATCTCCAACCAACCATCATTTTTTTTTTGGTTGGGATTTACACCATCATGGAAAACATGGTGCATATCCAAAAAATGGGATTGAATTGCTCATCATGAGTCCTACCTTAAGCGGCATGTATTGTTCTTCCTTTCCTATTAGATTTTAGAGCTGAAATTCAAATTATAATTATTTTTTTAATCACTCCAAGTCATTTATGATGCCACATGTATACCTAATTAATATCATATTATATCCCATTAGTGTCATAGCTCTTGTTAAAACCAGTTGAGATAAATGTGTCTGTGTGAGTGAGTGGGAGGTGGCTGAAATTGCACAGTGAAGGGAGAGAGAGAACCTTAATCCATTGTTCTTCAGATCCTACAGGAAATTAAAAACAAAAATGAAAAGCTTTTCAAAACCAAAGATGTGCCGTGTTATAAACATTGTTATTTTAATTTCAATTTTAGGCATTATAAAGAAAGATTTACGAATTTCTCAGACAATGCATACAAATTACGCATGAAATGACAATGCATTTCGTTATGGTAGAAAAAAGGAGCCTAAGACCTGCAAGAAGAAACTAAATTCGACATAAACGCGGGGGGGGAGCGACCTCAGCTACATCCTCTTCATCATGTAACCAAGAAAAACGACCCTTTTCCATATTCATTATTACGGTTTCAACTTGGGGTCCAAGTCAGGGTCTTTGGTAATTGACTGGTTAGTGCCAAATAGTTGAAAATGAACTTTCCAACATTTTTAAGTATTTTCCCCCATTGTTCACAGCGTGAAATTCATCAATTACCAGTAATTGTGGGTGTTGCTAATTTATCACAGATTTAATATTGTAATTATTATTATTTTAGTACCATTAATTGGGAATTCTTACTACATTAGTAACTCTCAATCCAACTAAAACGGCATTAGGGGAACATAGCTTTTTAATCTTCATCTGTGTATTAATAATAGTTTCATGTTTTTGTTTGGTGATTGAGAGTTGTCTGAGACTGAACATCTCAGATTCTAAAAACCCTTCAATCACAGCTGTATGCCAGCATCTTGATCGTCAAGATCTCTAGAACCTACAAAAAAAAAAAAAAAGAAAAACACCATCCAAGTGGCTCGAGGTGGTCCCAGATCACTCCTTATAAGTGGTGCGAGCTCCCAATGGAACCACCGCTCACTTTTTTGGTTTCTTCCCAAGTTTCCAGTTCACTCTCCGTTGCCAACCACACTGCCCTCTAATGGTGCCTTTACCGTCTCATCAAGTCAAAAAACAAAACAAAAAGCAAGGAAACGACAAGGGAACCTCTACTTTAATGGGAACTGCGTGTTGAAAATAAAGATGAAAAGAGGGAACTCTATTGTTATGAGGCGCTAAGGGAGCTGAGGTGGTATGCTTCTTATGTCAACTATCTAAAATTCAACACCACTCAAAAAATCCAACAATAAGAGAGATTTTGATGCTTCCACAAACTGAAGAATATGCTGGAATAAGAAACAGAAACAGGACCTCAGCAACAAAATGGATTTGCACCACAGAACAGGGAGCCAAAAATGTATTAAATCGTGACTATGATCGAATATCCAAGGTGTTTTCGCACTCTAAAATGATTATCAACTTTGCACTACTACAAACTCTCTTTTTTAAAAAAAAAAAAAAAAACTAGCATTTATATATTAAAGAATATAATCAACAGCAATGAAACGGAAAATGCGAAATATAAGAGTAAAGAGGCAATTCCTACACAAGAAAGAAACGCTCGTCTTCAAAGTTCAACTTTGGCAATGAACAAATTACTTACATTGGTTCTGACAATAATGAAGTTCAAAACAAGCCAAAACTTGAAGGGATTTAAAGCCAATTAAGGGAAAAAATAAAAATAAAACACAGCAGGCTACCAAAAGCAAGACTAAATGGGAAAAAGATTGCGCTCTGCATTCCACTAATCCTTTCACCGCGGTGTTGAGCAGAAACAGGAGAGAACTACTTCAGCCTGCAGTGAAGATCATGAATGATTTTCTCCTAATCCAAAAACTAAATAAACCAATCTCATAAAGATGCAGCTTAAATAAGAAACAATTCAAGCCTAAAAGGAGTGACAAAGATAAATTACTCTTCAACTGAAACCAAGGATAACCACCCTCATACATCAATCGAATGGAGCTATTAATACCCAAATCGCATCAGAATCTTAAACAGGTAGAAATAACTGCAATGCCATAACTCCAGAAAGCTTTACAAGAAGCCCAATCTCATCCATGAGTGTTAACAGCTTCCCACACTAAATTCTTAGGGACGGGATTGGTAAGATCCCTAGCCTGCAAGGCTGCCGTCCGAAGAGTCTTCCAGGTCAATGCATTAGCCTTCGAGAATGATGCAATATTGTATGGCAAATTATGCTTCTTGCAGAGCTCCCTGACAAAGGGTGAGATTCTTCTCAGTTGGCATCGAGGCAAACGGGGAAAGAGATGGTGCTCAATCTGAAACTGCAATCCACCATGAAACCAATCCATCCAAGACGAGCATGATATATTCAACGTTCCCTCAGTTTGCTTCTCAAACCAATTATTCCCACTAGGCGGACCAACATAAACACTTGATGAGAAATGATTCAGACAGAACTGAACATGCTGAATCCCAGTAACACTAAAACTGGCAACTACAAACGTGATTCTCTCTCCCCAACTGGGCAAGCAAGAAACAAGCAGAGGATACCAAATCCAGAACACAACTAAACCCAAAAACTCCAGGCCCCTATTAGACACCAATCTTCTCTTAGATAACAAAATCAAGAAAGATTGAGCAAACAAATTAATCCTCGCCAAACACATCACAGGATAAAATGTCCAATGCTGGTAGCTGACCAAGAACCTAGTAACTGAATCGAAATTCAACTTCCTATCATAAAAATAAGAAGTAATTGAACCGAAAAACTTAGAAGATACCACGAAAAAAGGCATGTGCTGCAGATCTGGATCATACTCAAGACTATTACAAGCAATGTGATGCGCATTATGGTTACACTTCCACCATCCAATACTAATCCCTGCAAGGCAATTTCCAGATAAGATCTGCACAAAATTATTGAATCCAGGGCTACTCATAACCTGATAATGACCTGAATCATGCCCAATCCAGCCACTTTGTATCCAACAAAACCCCATTAACCCACCACAAACCAAACGAAACAATCTACTATCAGAGCACAAAACACCATAAACGCTCAAACAAAACAATACTGCAATTAAACAAAGAGAAATGAACACCCCATGTCCTTTTTTCTCAAAAAGACCCAATTTTGAGAACTCAGCAACGAGTTTTCTATAATCTTTTGATGCCTCACTAACAGCGTAGTCTTTGAGATAAAACCCAGTAAAGAATTTGTCAAGATACTGCCATGCAGTGCCTGGATGGTAAGCAACAAAAGCATCAGTGACATCTTGGCCTGCAAGACTTAAGAGTGGAAGCTGACCTCCAGGGTGGTCATTAGCCCAATAAGTGACATTGTAGATCTTGCCTTGTATAGAGATCCATAGATCTCCTGCTTTATTGTGCTTTTCAAGCTCTTCTTTCGTAATGAACCTCTTTGTATCTGCCATTGTAGAGATGATCTGAGGGGAGGGTGAAAAAAAAAAGAGCTTTCTTTTCTCCTCTTCTGTTGTTCAATCTCCTCCTTTCTGTGAAGTCAAAGGAAGAGACTTTTTTGTTTGGGGAGTTGGCCAGCCAGTGCTATTGCATGAGCGAGAGAGAGGTTTGGGTGAGATTTTGGTGTCTTTTTGAATTTTCTGCATCTCTCATATCTCTATCCCTGTGGTTTTGGGTTTATATGCTGGATTTGATTAGCTAATAGCCAGGCTCCATCCCACTGAAAAAGCGCCACATGCTCTTGTTTAAAAACAATAATGAAGGTAAAATCTTTTTGTAAACAGGGATAAGATTCGAGTAGAGACAACTACTTTTCCTTTTCCGCACCTTTCATGTGCTATGGAATCATGGGATGGGATTTTTTTATTTTTCACAAAGATTGACTTACCACGTTTGTGAAAGTGCAAAATTTCTACATCATTCATGTTAAAAAAAAATAAATAAATAAAAATAAATCAAATCAAATCTTGCTCATCTCCAAAAGTGAAAGAAGTTATGTATAAAAAAAGAAAAAATGTTATCCATTTAGAACCCAAGTAAGGCCATAATTCTTTTATTTCTCTTATTTCTTTTTTCGTACTAAGCAATTTCGTCACTCTTTCTAAAGGAAAACATTTATTTACATGCTTTCTTAAGTATTGATAGCTCAAATTTTTATTTCCATTAGTGATAGATTAGTTTTTTTTTTCGTAATACGTTACGGATTGGATAAAATATATAAAATCATTCAAAAAAATTATTTTAGTTTGATAATCTGTTTTATAGTGTAAATCTATAAAAACATATGTAATCAAATGTGAAAAAAATTACTTATAATTTTTTAATAAAAAATTTTATATTTAACTATTTCTTATTTGTGTTTTTCATAAATTTTTCATTAGAAAAATGATTTATCCTTGTTAATCCATGAATTATTAACTAAAAATAAATAAATAAATTTAAAGAAAAACTTTAGTATTTCATAAGATTGTGTCAAAAAACATAAATAACAATTATTAAAAGCTTACATAGAATTGAGTAATTTTTTTTAATATTTATGAGAGTATCAATTTTTGAAAAAATATAAATTTAATTTTTATATATTTATTTACAAAAGAATGAATAATATTAAAATAAAAAACTATATTAATTTGAATAATTGAGTAGTTAAGCCAAAACATAATTTTAATTATTTAATTTAAAATAAGTTAATTTTAAAATATTTAAAAATTAATAAATAAATAGTAAATGCTTCGTGTAGTAGTAGTTGCATAGTTAATTTCTAAAAAACAATGATTCAATATTTTTTTATACATCATAACTATACTAAGTGAGTTTAGAGTTTTCGGTCTAAAATAAAAAATACTAAAAAAAAAAAAGTTAACTTGCAAGAAACCTATTAACTAAATTTGAAGTTAATAGACTAAAATAAAAATTATTACAAATTTGATTTTGATTAATTTTAATTATATAAAGAAGAAACAAATTAATAAAACATGTGAACTCTTTTTCTTTTTCTTTTTTCCTCCTTCTTAAATATTTTTTTATTTCTATGTTATGCATGGTTAGTCCTTGAATATAGGCCTCACGTGCGGAGCAACCATCTTCTTTTTATTTTTCACATTTGACTTTCAACTATTAATTAATAAATTTGAGTTTTTTTCTAAAAAAAACCAAGAAAAAATTATTTGAAATACACTTTTTAATCTAAAAATGTATTTTAGATATATATATATATATATATATATATATATATACATGCCACTATAATTTAAAAGTTATATAAATCTATTTTTCAAAAGAAAAAATAATCATGTTCTAAAAATTTATTTCAAAATTCATACATATAGAACAATAAATCAAAAATGTCAATAAATATAATTTTAAATTAATTGAATGAGAATTTTAAAAAATAACAAATTAAAGCAAGTAAATTTTAAATAATAAAAATAATTAACAAAAAACACTAAAACAAAATGGGACCAAATCACAATATAATCAAAGTTTGAAATTGAAAAAAAAAAGAGGATTTAAAAAAATGACAAATTAATGTAGTAAATTTTAAATAATATAAAAAAACCAAGAAAAAATTATTTAAAATACGCTTTTAATCTAAAAATGTATTTCGGACAAATTATATATATTAGTCATGCCACTATAATTTTAAAATTATCTAAATCTATTTTTCAAAAGAAAAAATAATCATGTTTTAAAAATTTATTCCAAAATCCATACATATAGAAAAATAAATCAAAACTATCAATAAATATAATTTTAAATTAATTGGATGAGAATTAAAAAAAATGACAAATTAAGGTAGTAAATTTTAAATAATAAAAATAATTAACAAAAAACACCAAAGCAAAATGGGACCAAATCACAATATAATTAAAGTTTGAAATTGAAAAAAAAAAATAGAGATAGAGAATTTTAAAAAATGACAAATTAAAGCATTAAATTTTAAATAATAAAAATAATTAACAAATTAAAGTTTGAAGTTGAACAAAAAGAGAGAGAATTTAAAAAAATGACAAATTAAAGTTGTAAATTTTAAATAATAAAAATAATTAACAAAAAACACTAAAACAAAATTGGATCAAATCACAATACAATTAAAGTTTGAAATTGAAAAAAATATATAGAAAAATTAAGGATCAAAGTGTTACAAAATGACATGAATAGTAGAATGAATAATGATTTGTGAGTGTGTGAATAATGTTTCAAATAGTGAATGAACTGTAAATAATTGTTTTACTTTAATTTTATTGATAAGTGACATTTTGATCGGCATATTAAATTAAATTAACAATAAGAGTAATAAATTACATTTTCTTAATTCATCTAATTATAATTAAAATATAGAAAGGTGAGTTACTGTTAAGTACTTTGCATTGTATAGAAAAGAATTTAAAATTCATTAGAGTAAATAATTTCTCAAAAATATAAATCTCATAAACAATACAATTTACATGTATTTCATCTGCTCATTCACCAATCAAGCATTGATCCAGGTTTTACAACCTAAGTAGATGCTTATTGTCATTGCAAATCGATACAATTAAACCTCACTCGGTTGTTATTTGGTAATGAGAAATGAAATTACGAAAATAAAAATTCTATTTTATAGATATTTGATTGAAAAAATTTATGTGTTAATGAAAATAAAAATTAAATATTACTCCATTCTTGTGGAGAGGTGGAAATAAAAAATAATAATAATAAGAAGAATGTGATTTTTTTCTTCAAATAATGATGTATTATTTTTATTCATTGTATATCAATTACTTCTATTATATTACTGCCGACAACATGAATGAAGAGTAGTGGTGATATTTGTTTTAAATATTACTATCATTTTATAATTGTCATTTTTCTTCTACCATCACCTCTCATGATAATTATAATTTTTAAAAATATATTTGTTATTATTATCATTACTATACAATTATGAGTATAATCACTATCTTTTACTTCTTTTTTACTTTGTCACTGCTATTGTTATCACTACAGTCACCTCATCTTTTTGCTATTATCATCATTAGTAAAATCTTTTTTTAATATTATTTATTTTTATTTTAAAATTTATATATTTTATTATGATTCCCTCATGGTCATTTCATTTTTTTATATATATTTTTTATAATCATACAACACTTTAAGTTTTTAATAGTCCTTTGAAGTGTTAAGAAATAAAAATAAAAATTAATTTTTTTATTGATTGATGTTATTTTTTATTTAATATCACTTATATATCAGTTTGGATTTTAATTTAAATTAAGTTATTCTTTCTTTTCTTTTTTATCATCCGGGATATCTTAGTTATGTCGAACGTATAAGATGAGAACAATAATTCAAAAAGTTTTTTTACATATACAAAAATTTGAATTTAAGAACACTTGTTTAAGCAATTAGAATAACTTCTACTAAAATCATTTTTATTTTTTTTGGTAAATTAAGCTATTCTTTTGACGATCTTAAAAACCTACCTAACATCCATCGGATGAATTCAAATAAGCAAATTATATAATTTAATAAACAATAAAACAACCCAAAGTACATGTGTAATCCTTGCTCCAGGAATCTTTATTCCCAAAACATATGCTAAGAAAGTGGGTGAATAGTCGTTGAAATCTTGACTCCAGGATTGTTTTCTTGTGTCGTTAAAGACCACGTCTGGTAACTTTCAAAGAGCCATTCAGATTTCAGAGTTGGTTCAAACTTCAAAGTGATAAAGAATAGATTCAACCTTGTATTTCAGATTTGAGCTACGCTACCGATTGTTTGATGTTAGAGACGAACCATAAGCCAGCAACGAGAGAGCAATGGCCCCCCAAAAAATTTCAAAAGTTCTTGAAAATATAATTCTTTTATAAGGTTTTTTTTTCTTTTTTTAATCTTAAAAAGTTCTATAATTGAACTCTGTGATGAAACATACTATTTAATTAGATTTTATCAGCATTGAAACAACGATAATTTTCTATATTAATTAGAGTTTTAAATTCTTATAATTATTTTTAGAATATAATTTTTTTTATTCGTTAATTATCAATTGGTAAAAAAATATGAATGCAAACGAGTTTGAACATATTAGACAATAAAGATTTTTTAGTCTAATTCAAATTAGTTTTTGCTTGATGGGTTTATTTTATTGGTGTTTGCATGTTTTGCAAGGTGTTTAGAATGATTACAAATGTTAGTATAGTTATTATCTTCAAAATGATACCAACTTTGATACTCAATATATATATATATATAACACAAAAAAGAAATTAAAATATTGCTCATGAAGAGAATATACCACATGGATATGCTCCATATAGCTTATAGCAAAACCAAAATATCTAAGCTCCCATTGTTCCTTGGACACTCTACAAGATTTAATGTCTAGGAGAACTCCTTGATTCGTTGTTTCAACACAAAAACCCCCCACCTCCCAAAAGAAGAAGAAGAACAATAATAATAATAATGCCACTTT